GTCCGTTGTCTAGTTGTTCTTGGTGTCCGTTGTCTAGTTGTTCTTGGTGTCCATTGTCTAGTTGTTCTCGGTGTCCATTGTCTATTTGTTCTTGGTGTCCATTGTCTAGTTGTTCTTGGTGTCCATTGTCTATTTGTTCTTGGTGTCCATTGTCTAGTTGTTCTTGGTGTCCATTGTCTAGTTGTTCTTGGTGTCCATTGTCTAGTTGTTCTCGGTGTCCATTGTCTAGTTGTTCTTGGTGTCCATTGTCTAGTTGTTCTTGGTGTCCATTGTCTAGTTGTTCTCGGTGTCCATTGTCTAGTTGTTCTTGGTGTCCATTGTCTAGTTGTTCTTGGTGTCCATTGTCTATTTGTTCTTGGTGTCCATTGTCTAGTTGTTCTTGGTGTCCATTGTCTAGTTTACGTTCTTGGTGTCCATTGTCTAGTTTGTTCTTGGTGTCCATTGTCTAGTTGTTCTTGGTGTCCATTGTCTAGTTGTTCTCGGTGTCCATTGTCTAGTTGTTCTTGGTTTCCATTGTCTAGTTGTTCTTGGTGTCCATTGTCTAGTTGTTTTTTGGTGTCCGTTGTCTAGTTGTTCTTGGTGTCCATTGTCTAGTTGTTCTTGGTGTCCATTGTCTAGTTGTTCTTGGTGTCCATTGTCTAGTTGTTCTCGGTGTCCATTGTCTAGTTGTTCTTGGTGTCCATTGTCTAGTTGTTCTTGGTGTCCATTGTCTAGTTGTTCTTGGTGTCCGTTGTCTAGTTGTTCTTGGTGTCCATTGTCTAGTTGTTCTTGGTGTCCATTGTCTAGTTGTTCTTGGTGTCCATTGTCTAGTTGTTCTTGGTGTCCATTGTCTAGTTGTTCTTGGTGTCCATTGTCTAGTTGTTCTTGGTGTCCATTGTCTATCCGGAGCCTGCGAGCCACACTGCATCTCTTATTGATTTCCCGGCTACCACGAATGGACACAACTGTATAGTTAGTGTGACTTATAGGTGTGTTCAAAACAACCCCCCCTCAAAGTTGGTGTAATAAAATCCTCTTCTGTATACTACAATAAAAAATTAGCGCTTCACATTGTCTAGGGAACGACATAATGGAATAGAGTGACCAATTCCTGGGATTTGTTAAATGTCTATTGTAAAAGTAGGCAAAGGATACATTTCAAGCCGACAGCCTTAGACTTCATTAGGAAAAAAAAAGTGAGAGGGTTCGGTCATGTAGCTCGTCATAGACACCGCATATTTTGGGAGCTCAACTTCTTGAGGGCCTGCTCTCGCCAAATACCAAAGCGGACTAAGTGTAGGCTCCGTTCAATCATGTGCAAACAATGTATCTTTAAAAGTGTTGGCTTATGAATTTCAAATATATGCCATTCACACGCACACACACGCACACACACAAACATACACACAAATATATGTTAAGTTAGTTGCGTATCCTTTACAGGACGTTGCAGAACCAACCCCATCACTTTCTAGCTGTTGTAGTTTTTTTAGGCAAATTTACGTCCAGTAGTTTGCCATTGGTACTAAACGGTCGGCTCTCTGTACCACTGTCGAAACCAGCGCAAGACAAACTGTCAGCAGCAGGGATCGAACCCGGCACCCCGGCATTTCGAAGCGCGTTCGCAACGCTTAAGGGTCTGTTAGCTCCCTTACAATATAGCGTGAATCGAAAAAGAGGCTGGCCATGCATACGTTTGACAGGGGAAAACCAGAAGCCGCGGGATCCTACACGTATGGAACACACAGTACGGTACTATTCGGCAAATTATACTTCCCCTTGACGACAAGGTGTAAGAGGATCGATATGTGTTAACATGATTTGTCTTCCTTAATTTCTTTTGTCTAACAGCTAATGCGTAAAGCTATGCATTTTTTTCTTCTTTTTCCTCAGCCTACTGTTTCAGGTTTAATAGTGTCACAGAGAGGAGTTAGATATAGTTTCTTGTCTTTTTTTAGTTGCTGAGCCTGAGTTGATATTATACTGTGTTTCTGTAGTGTCTCTTTTATTCCCTCCACTATCTCTTTCTTTGTCTCTTGACTTGTAGCCTGCTGATATCATATAGTATGGTCTAGCTACTGACTGACTTGTAGCCTGCTGATATCATATAGTATGGTCTAGCTACTCACTGACTTGTAGCCTGCTGATATCATATAGTATGGTCTAGCTACTGACTGACTTGTAGCCGGCTGATATAATATAGTATGGTCTAGCTACTGACTGACTTGTAGCCTGCTGATATCATATAGTATGGTCTAGCTACTGACTGACTTGTAGCCTGCTGATATCATATAGTATGGTCTAGCTACTGACTGACTTGTAGCCCTGCTGATATCATATAGTATGGTCTAGCTACTGACTGACTTGTAGCCTGCTGATATCATATAGTATGGTCTAGCTACTGACTGGACTTGTAGCCTGCTGATATCATATAGTATGGTCTAGCTACTGACTGACTTGTAGCCTGCTGATATCATATAGTATGGTCTAGCTACTGACTGACTTGTAGCCTGCTGATATCATATAGTATGGTCTAGCTACTGACTGACTTGTAGCCTGCTGATATCATATAGTATGGTCTAGCTACTGACTGACTTGTAGCCTGCTGATATCATATAGTATGGTCTAGCTACTGACTGACTTGTAGCCTGCTGATATCATATAGTATGGTCTAGCTACTGACTGACTTGTAGCCTGCTGATATCATATAGTATGGTCTAGCTACTGACTGACTTGTAGCCTGCTGATATCATATAGTATGGTCTAGCTACTGACTGACTTGTAGCCTGCTGATATCATATAGTATGGTCTAGCTACTGACTGACTTGTAGCCTGCTGATATCATATAGTATGGTCTAGCTACTGACTGACTTGTAGCCTGCTGATATCATATAGTATGGTCTAGCTACTGACTGACTTGTAGCCTGCTGATATCATATAGTAGGGTCTAGCTACTGACTGACTTGTAGCCTGCTGATATCACATAGTATGGTCTAGCTACTGACTGACTTGTAGCCTGCTGATATCATATAGTATGGTCTAGCTACTGACTGACTTGTAGCCTGCTGATATCATATAGTATGGTCTAGCTACTGACTGACTTGTAGCCTGCTGATATCATATAGTATGGTCTAGCTACTGACTGACTTGTAGCCTGCTGATATCATATAGTATGGTCTAGCTACTGACTGACTTGTAGCCTGCCGATATCATATAGTATGGTCTAGCTACTGACTGACTTGTAGCCTGCTGATATCATATAGTATGGTCTAGCTACTGACTGACTTGTAGCCTGCTGATATCATATAGTATGGTCTAGCTACTGACTGCCTTGTAGCCTGCTGATATCATATAGTATGGTCTAGCTACTGACTGACTTGTAGCCTGCTGATATCAAATAGTATGGTCTAGCTACTGACTGACTTGTAGCCTGCTGATATCATATAGTATGGTCTAGCTACTGACTGACTTGTAGCCGGCTAATATCATATAGTATGGTCTAGCTACTGACTGACTTGTAGCCGGCTGATATAATATAGTATGGTCTAGCTACTGACTGACTTGTAGCCTGCTGATATCATATAGTATGGTCTAGCTACTGACTGACTTGTAGCCTGCTGATATCATATAGTATGGTCTAGCTACTGACTGACTTGTAGCCTGCTGATATCATATAGTATGGTCTAGCTACTGACTGACTTGTAGCCTGCTGATATCATATAGTATGGTCTAGCTACTGACTGACTTGTAGCCTGCTGATATCATATAGTATGGTCTAGCTACTGACTGACTTGTAGCCTGCTGATATCATATAGTATGGTCTAGCTACTGACTGACTTGGTTCAAGTCTGACCAGATGACTAAACCATTTGATCCTCTGATGTTCATTCAAATCCTTTACAGACAAGATGATAAAAGACACTCACAAATATGACCGAACGTTTCGACAAAGGTGTTTATCAACAGAGTACTAAGTACAACGTCTGTGGCTTAAGTATTGGCCGTTTGAAGAGCAGGGGCAAACAACTGAACGTACAATTTGCTTTTAAAAACTATCATCATCATGTAGCAGGTCTTTTGCAGAACGTCGCTCTCACCACGGTCTGCCTGAAAGAAACTCGGTCTCTCGCCAGCTCTTCCGTCTCATGTACTTTCATACTCATGGAGTCACTTATATCCTGTGCCCATTTTCGTGTCGGTCGACCCCTGCCCCTCCTTCCTGGTACAATGCCTTCTGCTATAATTTTTTTTCCAATCAGTCATGGCCCTTGATATGACCAAAATATTTCAGCTTCCGAGAAAAGATGCTGTTTATTAGCCAATCTTCCTTGATGTTCAGATCCTTCAAGATGTCAGTATTCTTCTTTGTCCAAGATATTCTGAGAATCTTTCTTTAGCATTTCAGGTCAAAGGCCCCTATTCTCTTTCTTAAGGACTGTGAGATAGTCCACGATTCACATCCGTATGTAGCCACAAGGAAGATGCATGCTCTCAAAATTCTAATTTTGATCTCCTTGCTGGTGCTTAACCAAAGACTTTTGAGGCTGCTTAATCTTTTCATTGCTATAGCCATCCTCCTTTTAATTTTTATTGTTTTTTATAAAAACCACAACCTAAAAAATGTTTGAGTTGGTTCTGCAACTTCCTGTAAAGGATACGCAAATAACTTTAGTGAGTGGAAGACACCAGGTGACTTCAAGACTCAGTAGACAAGATAATACAGCTAGTAAACAGACAAGGTCAACACGAAACCAAGAAAACGGTGGTACTTATGCGCCTCGTTTTCATCCCTCCTGTAAGCTTTTAAATCATATTTTATGTTGCACAGTGTTTGGTACTTTTTGTTTAGCCCTGACAATATCATTAAGAGTGTCAATAGATTTCCTGTTCTGACAGGGATGACACTCATCTCAAGCTCCCAACACACCCCTGTCTATTTTGTTGGAGTGTATGTTTTTCTTGCGTGTACAGAAGAAGAAGTCAATGACATTTCCACTAACTTGAACATGTAACACAAACAGGGTTCCTGCATGCGCCCCCGATAGATCCGCTCTGCGATATCCGTCTTCGGCGCGGCTGGTACAGATTCACCAGTCTGGCTGGCGGAGATATGCCGACGACCTGTCAAGAGACGAATAGGTGCGGCACTACTAAACCCATCTGGATCGTTGGGCCAAACCCCAGATTTGAAGGTAAACCTTTGTAGTAGTCTAGTCAAGTTTAAGAATCCTCTAATGCGAAGGTTCGTTTTTAGACAGTATTGTAAAGATTTAGACCCCATAGGGTCTGCAGACATAGGGTCCAGAGCAGAAACCATGTCTAGGATTGCCCAGATAATACCGGTCCTTGCCAGAGAGAAAAGATTACGGAGATACGAAATCATTTCAGTCTAGGAAACTACCAGAATTGCAAACACTGCTGACACAACTCAGCGTTCAGCGAAGAGTCGTAATGCAGTGGATACCGTCTCATTCTGGAGTGCCTGGAAATGAGAAAGCTGATCAACTGACAGGGGAAGGTGCGACAAAAGAGCAGCCGGATGTACCAGTCACATACCACCAAAAGAAAAGAATCACTAAATCAATCAGGAAACCACCAGCCCCAGCACAAGACGACTATTTTATTTTGGACAGATCAGAACAAGTCATTATCCTCCGCCTCAGAACAGGGCACAACCGATTACGTAACCACATGTACACAAAATTCAAGATAGGTGTATCATTTTTTTTTTTTTTTTTTCCATGTGCACCTGTGGAAAGGTGCCCCAGACAGCAGAGCATGTACTCCAGGACTGCACCGAATTTGACACATTAAGGCAAACCTTTTGGCCAGAAAGAACAACAGTGGAACGAAAACTCTATGGACCACTGAATGAACTAACAACGACAGTGAAATTTATACAAGAGACAAAACTGCTAATATAGACAACTTATTTCAGGCGAACGAAAGAAGAAGAAGACGACTCTCATGTAAAACTAAGCTGCGACTGCTCAGAGAAGTAGTTCCTGGTGCGTTTACATTTGGCTGTGAAAACATGAACAGCTGATCTAAAAAAAATAAAAAAATACAAACATTGGAAATGCGATCTTTCAGAACAATTCTTGGCATATCACACAGAAACAACATCGCATATGACGGGGTTGTCGTATGATTAACCAGTACATTGGCAACTATGAACCTATTTTAATTACAGTGAGAAGACGAAACGTGCAGTGGCATGGACATGCAATAAGATCTAACGGCCTCTCAGAAACATTACTACGGGGCTAAGTAGAGGGAAAGAGGAGAAGAGGCAGACTAAGAAAGACCTGGATAGAGAACTTGATTGACTAGACATGCCTTATGCATGCAGCCATAGGGTACATTGCCTCTGACCGACAAAGGTGGAGGGAGTTGATTAGACAGTTAACAGAACTGGTGGCACAGTTACACACAGTGGTAAAAAACTAGGATGATAATGTTTATTATAAGGACGCCACTCACTTTGTAGAACAACATTAAGACCTAGCAACAACAGTAAAATAACACCAGTCTAGTCTAACCCCGCCTTCACCGGAAATGAAATGTTTACGCACTATTCTGAGTGTAAAGAGGAAAGATCGACTTAGGAACATCGACTTAGGAACGATGATATCAGGAGGAGAGCTGGCACAGAACCAATACTGAACGTTATAGCTAGACAGCAAACCAGACTGCGCCTCGATGTAGGGAAACAAGTGCACTAAGAACATGGTCAACCAGGCACCCCCCCCCCCTTCCCAATATGTGTCTTCATTGGCCATTTCTATCATACAGGTTGAGATCCACAACTGTGGAATACGGACATAATTCATCTGTAACCTTTGACATGGCAGTATGGGTTACCTACATTTATAGTAACGAAGCATAAGTCGAATAACAAAGACAGCAACGAATTACAAACAAAGTAGAAACTGTTTGTTAATTACAATACATTGTCTGTTTATTTGTTGTGTTGCTGCCCTAAGGGCGCAAGGCATTCCAGGTCCAGTGACAAGCAGAAGTAGAAGAAGTTACCAGTGCCTCACGTAAACATTAACAACTAAAAGAAAACAGGCAAAACCGAAACAACAGTTGAATGATGTGGTCCACATCACATCGGGCGACTTTATTTTCTAGAGTTTTTCCTAGTGACTATTTTTGTTGAGGCTTCGAAAGACCCACGGGTCAGCATTGAAGAGACTGACCACTGCACCAACTCAACCGTTATAGTGTTATTAGCGGTCCCCCTGGTGAAGTGGTCAAGCCGATAACTTAGGAAATGAGGGTCATGGGTTCGTTTAAGGGCTGCGTCGTTCAGTTCATGAGAGCAGTTTTTACGGAGATCCCTTGTGATCGTTCCTGGAGCTACGGCGTTCTTGCTCTGTGCAAGGCTCTCGGTAGTCGACTGGCCGTTGTGCGAAGAGATACCTGTCCATATGAGATAAACCTCAGTGCAATGAAGTCGGCCCTGACTGATGATTGATTGATGTTTCACCCCACCAGAACAACATATCAGGTGATGAACACCCGGTGACGCAAAGTGCCACCATGAGAATGAGGATCACCCTTGAACAGGTCTCAAAAACCCTGTTTAACCCATAGGTTGGGTTATATTAGGGCCATTAGCAAGATCCAAGGTGGTGCTTAAAAAAAATGACGTCTCACAAGGGGACGGCGAGCAACAAAGTAGGTCCTCTCATCTTTGGATTTATAAGCAGTAACATAAAAGCAAAACTTTTACAAGGGATATAATCCGGCATTAGAAGCTGATTCTGCCAAACCAGTTACTTCCCTTAATTTTATATTTAGTTTGCCAAAATAAATAAATGGTCTTGTCTTTTACAGATGGCATCGTCATGCGGGCAATCTGTGTCAACATGAACAGCAGCAACCCACTAGAGAAACACTGTTGTGAATATTCTGAGGACATCTTCATGAAAAACTGCGGCAGCTTTTTCGTGTATTACTTGTACCCTACAATAGACTGTGACATGGCTTACTGTGCAGGTGGGTTGCTTTTTTTTTACACACAGTTCTAACATATTAATTACTACCAACAGTTTTATTTTACTTTGATTTGTCAGTTGTTATTCTTTTCTCATTTCATGCTTGTACATCCATTCTTTCTTTTTTTTTTCTTTTTAAATATGGTACTTGAAAATATCTTGTTTGAATCAACCTACTTGCTACTAGTTGATTGTTTTTTTTTTTAACCTATTCCAGGAAATGTGCCCCCTTGTCCAGTTGGGAAATGGTCAAATACCAGCTTTCCTCCCTGTAAAGGTTGGTATAAAATCTCAGTAGACAAGATAATGGAAATATGTAACACAAATACCTCTGAATATTCTTATCAATTTTTCAGATTATCTAGTTACTTGTCTAAGTATGTATTGTTGTTGTTCCTTCATCACGAGTGATGATGACCAGTCCTGTCATCCAGTGGTGACTGGGTCAGGTTTTATGTGTGTACAGATGGCTGATAAGGCCAATTCTAGCACTGACAGTTCTTGAGCAATGGGGGACAGGGAATAGAAGCCACATCTCTCTGGTGATTTGCTTCAGTGTCTTTTCAGGCTTGTATTTTCTGAATTGCTGCTGCAGTTCTAGCAGCTTCGTGTGGGCCACAGCTCCTCGATGAAGAGAGGAGCGCCAGGATGAGTGGTCACATGCAGCGACTTCCCAAGTTTTAAGGATTATTACAAGATAGTCTTCCAGCGAGGTCTTGATGCTGTCCTTGAAACGTTTCTTCTGTCCCACCTTGAGCGTGTTTTTTCCTTATGGTAGCTCACCATAGGAAATTCGGTTTAGCAGTCGATGAAAGGCATGCAGACTATATGACCTGCCCAGTGAAAGTTATGATTGCATTAGAATCGAGTAAATCCTGGAAAGTCCAGCTCTGTCAAAGTATGTCAATACTTATGTTATAGACTGACACCTGCCCTACTTACTGGTGGTCTATCTGCTGCATCAACCAACCTAACATCTGCCTAA